AGGGTAACCCAAGTAGTCAATTTGGGAGTTGCGCTGAATTGCGCAATGATGGGTCAGGGTAGAGTTACCCTACCTGCAAACCAGAGTTACCCTGCCTTAGGCCATGGGTTACCCTACTATGAGGTCAAGTTACTATACCTTAAAAGTAACTTATTATGCAGGACTTCAGAGAAAGTTACTAGATTGTTTACCACTCAAGACTCTATAGAGTGTTCAAATTTCAAGTTGTGCAGATCACTCCCGTACAATCAGTTGAGCTCAAAACAAGCTGTAACTTGGAGGTGTGGTGCGTAATACCCCTCCCCTCCTGCCCTCTTATAAGACCCTAGCATTATAGGCTACAGCTTAGTAAGTTGTTACAAGACTAGCCAAACTCTACAACTGGAGACGCTTGTATAACAGCATCTACACTCATCCAGTCATTCAGTCTAGAGGCTGTCTAGTGGATATATGAGATGGAAACTTCGGCTAGATATGGGAAGTGGAACAGAGTTAATCTGTCAACTACTCAGAAAGCTACTAGGCTTCAAAGACGTGATGTCTTTGGTATAAGCCATACATAATTGGATGTTTTCACACTAAGATATGATATTGAATGGCAAAGGATCTCAACCAGAAACCAATACACCTGCACCTACCAGAAGAGTCTCTAACTTGGAGGAATACTGCTACAAAAGCCAATTCACTTCATGGAGTGTTACAACTGAGTTCAGGAATGCATAATAGTTGCAGAAGTGATTTCCAATACTATAATAGCAATTAAAATCCAGTTACTCAGAGAAACCAAGGGTTGCTGGCCGCAGCATTATCTGTCAATCCATGAGAATCACTTCATGTAAATTTGTAGGAAGTCCTCCAGAGAAAATTTGTTTATTGAATATGAAGTTATAGGGGTTTAAGGTGAGGTGACCTAGGAAGGTTGCAATCACAACTACCTACACAGATACAACATGCAGATAAAACTGATCATTTCATCAATGGTGGAGACAATTGGGTCCAACTCAGTTCAACTTGAGAACTATACTATAAGTCTAAAGACTGTGATGATCATATAATTAGTATTGGGAACATCATGACTCATAGTTAGCAATGTCGTAATTACTTAAGGGGTAGTGATTTTCAGAGTCTCAAGGTGTTCGCACCTTTGAAGAACACAGATGTTGTGGGTGATTATCAGAAAAGTACAGTCGCATCAGTTTAATAATTATACCCCTCTCTGACAACTACAACTATAACACTTATTGAATTTAATCATAAAAAAACTCATGATACAAAGCCAATTAAGGAATAGATGAAAGTACATTATGTAAGCTGTAAAGAAATCCAATTACCATTTTGTATGAACTCTATCCTCATCCAAAACAGCCTAAATACTCTCAGGCATGCTTTCTATTCAAGTATCTAATTTCTCGTGAGGAATCAAATCCCATTCCTTCTTGGCTGTCTGAAATAATTCAGCAGCACTATGGGGTCTTCTTTCTACCCTGGAGAATCGATTTCTGAGTACTCTTTTGAGTAGTACACAGGTGTTCTCAGTAGGATTGAGATCTGGAGAGTTGGGTTGTCAAGGGAGTTTTTAGTAACCACAGTCTGGCTGCAATTTTCAATTTTCCTCACCACCATGCCAGGAAGCATTGTTTGCAGCTAGGTAAATGTTGTCAGAGGTCTATCCTGACCTTCTATGAAAAGAATAAGATATGGCTAGTGGATCTCAGTTGCATATTGGTAGGAATTGATGCCAAGTTTATCTCTTTTACTACTCCTTTCCTCCTCCCTCTACTTTCTCACAAGAATTAACTCTGTCCTTCCACCCTTCAATATTAAAGCATAGATACCAATACTAGTCCTTTCTGACTTAAAGCTAGGCTTCAAGGTTTTTTCTTCCAGCCTTTCACCAGCTTTTATCCTAACCTTTCTCCCAAGAGGATTTGGATCATAGATGATAGTGGCTTCTTCAACAAGAACTACCCAATTCCATGCACCTCTCCAGTTCCTCCTTCTCCTAGCAAACACCTTTCTCTTTTCCTTCTGTCCTTTCCTCTAAAAAGGCTTTTTCCTTTATATCAGAAGCTTAATACCAGGTTCTAAAATCATCTTGTTAATAGTAGTCTGACCTTGTAACCGGTAAGGGTACTTGGTTATTAGTTTTGTTTTATGTTTTGTTTACAGTATCGTTGGATACTTAGTTTTGTTTTATGTTTTGTTTTAAGTATTACTTTGATACTTGGTTTGCTTTAAGTATCGTTTGATACTTAGTTTTGTTTTATGTTTTGTTTTAAGTATAATTTTGATACTTAGTTTGTTTTACCAAAGGGTATCGCTTGACACCTTAGATTAGTTTTGTTCATATTAAGACATGAACAGATTTGTGTATTTAAAGACTCCCTGATTCCAGGATAGAAAAGGCAGAATTCGTCAGACAGTATTTCAATATACTTGATTGAACGGTTACTTCTTAGTTCCTTAGTACATCTTTGAAATCTCCTTTAATTTTCAGCTCTCGCCTCCTCTCTAGTAGATCAGGCCACCTGCCAATTATCGTACCATTTACCAATAATTTGACTAGCATCTTTCGAACACCTTACAGGCCTAGACCAATATTTGCCTTTTGGGTAATTTCGCATAGCGCTAAATAAGGCTTGGTATCGATAATAGCGTCAATTGCTCTTCTTTTAGCATCCGTAATCTGGGTGGATTGGCCTTACTTGGAAGTATAATATGTATCTCCACCTTTTTTCTTAGCTCTAGTGACTACCCTTTGAACAATAGCCTTGCAGGCCACAATAGCCTTTGCTATTTAATTATACCCCATATCTGTATCCTTATAAAGGGCAAAAATATCCTTATTCTCATCTTCTTTTGCTCAGGTAGAGTGAGGTGGAGCCATAGTCACCAGTGGGATGAGGGTGTAATGGTGTTACGTGGTTGCTTAGCAGGGGTATAATTATGAAACAGACATGACTGTACATAGTTTTATAATAGATAGATGTAATCCACAAATACTCAGATGCGGAATATAAATATTGAAGTTCCTCCAATGTTTTTAGACATTATCAAGCTACAGAGAAGAGACCCAAATGATTTAATATTGTCTTTATGATTGGATTCTACTTTACCTACTTCACTTCACTCTTAGTCATCATAAACAAATCGAGTCCAGTCCAAGCCTTTCTAGATAATCTCCACCTACAGAAATAATTATTGGTTGGCTCAGACAACTATGAAATCTATTAGGTTGTCTTCGTCTAACACAGTTGCATTGTAAATACAGCAGCAAAAATACCTCTGTCAGGTGGATGTTAGCAAACCACACAGTAGTCTAGTTTGCTACAGAGAATCTTTGACCTGATCCACGGAGGTTGTCTAAACAGCCCCTAGGAGTCGGATGCTTATGATCTCAGACTAGTGATGTTGAGCAACTAGCCATATATGAAATCTACTTAAGTATATGCGAGTTCTCCTCTACTCTGGAAATTAACGACCTCAAGAGATCAGGACTTAATTGAGTAAAGCTGTGGCTTAATGATATTAAATTTTACTGTTTTGTTTCTTCAAACTCTACTGTTGAGACTTTAGCGGGCAGCTTCTTTTACAGACTCATAGCTATAATCTTAGTACAAGTACTATAAAATTCTACACTTTTAATATACTCTATTAGTACTTATTTATATTGCTTAATCTGTTGACTACTAAGTTAAGCTATCAGATCTGATCTGACACGTATTCCTTGTCTACTTATATATTATCAAACTTGAGCAGTAGCCAATTTTATACCACAAGTAATAAGAGAAGAATGATAAACTCGATTTTATAATATCTTTCTTTTCCATTAAATTCCCCTCAAGAGTATACTTTCTTTTCTGAATTTAAAAGTACTAGACATGACTTATTACTATGGCCTTTTATTACTCTTCTCAGGAGGTTATTGAACTACATTACCTACCAGAGTTGAGATTTTGCCTATCATGCATAAACTTTATTCTCCTTTTTCTCTGGTATGGGATACCTCAGAGGTCTACTACTTGTTCATTATTTTATGAGTACTTTACTTCATGCATGCAGGTTAATATTACTTCTTTACATTTTAGTATAGTTACTATTATAAGTATAGTAATCATTATTGGTTAGAAGATAGAAGTCCGTATTTTTATTGGTTTGTTTGCTGAGTTCGTGGTTTTATTTACTGTCTAACTCATGCAAATAGTAACTTCTTGTAACTGATAATATATAGGTTGTATAAAAAAAGCAATGCATGTTAAATATTATAGAAGATAAGAAAATATAACAAGAGAAGGTACATGTGGAAGATTGGTCAGGAGAATATCAGTTAGAATGGCATTGGGTACTTACTACCACCATAGTCAGTGAGGCTTTAAACAGATTTTACTATATTGGGAAAAATATAATTACTTGATTATCTTGTACTATTGGCCCCACACTAGCAATAGAGTAGTTGATATAATAAAATCTCTAATAAAGGTATATAAATAAACATTAAGGAGCTAGTTTAGCATATAAAGGAAGAACATATCCGAGGAAGTGTAAAACAAGTTACCTGCAATGTAAATGAATACTCAGAAGCAGAGAAATATCTAACTTTTGAGGGTGACGTGAATGATCTTGTTGCTAGTAATGTAGAACCATTACGGGAAGAACAAGAAGAGTTGGAATAAAGATCTCTCTGTTCTTTTCTTAACACTTCTTTTTAATTTAATTCTAGTCTCCAATATATCATTCCCTGAATTCTATTACTCTAATTTATTGCACAGACCGCTGACTTGGGTTGCGCTATTTTCATACTTTGTCTCACCTTATTTGAACCCTACTTGCACCTCTCTCTCATTCAATTTAATGCGGTATTACCCCCCTGTGTAATACCGATCCAGATTATTGGTTGCTCAATCAATAAGGTTAGGGTTGCTTCACCCAGCTCAATAAAGTTTGTGCTTGCTCCCTGCTCATTCCTGCAAGACTTTCTGCAATCGCCATTCCGTATCCGCACTTCGTTCATCGTCACCGAGTCCTTGGCATGGCTGATTCTCACGATCCTTTCCCGAATGTCAAAGAAAAGCTCACCGCACGAACGAAAAAATCTGCCTTCGAGAAATCACGTCTCGAAGCGGAGGCGAAGAGACTTCGCGAGGAGGCTGAGACTGCAGCGGTATACAAGGATTTCGTCGCCTCATTCGAGCAGGAGCCATCGTGCTCAACCCCTGGTGCGAGCAACCTCAGTGGAACACGAGGATCCCTTGGAAATTCTAGGGACCCTACTGGTGACTCAAGAGGAGGATTCCGGGGGATCCCACCCAGTGGGCCTGGACGAAGACATTTTACCTCCGCTCCAGCAAGAGGCAGTCAGGCAGCGATACTCTTGAGCGGTCCTCAGAACAGAAAGCGAAATATCGACTCGTTGTTTGAAAGAGAGGAAGAAGTTGGTGTCTTCGGTTCAGCCTGCTTAAGTGAACGTGAGAAACGGAGGCTTCGAGAATCAAATATTGGACTCCTCGCGTTCGAGAATTCAGCTCCACCAAGCAGGAGCAAGGATCAATACTCTCACGACGATGACTCTGGTATCCTTGGCCTTTGCGTAAGGATCGGAAATTTAGGAGAATTATTTTCTAATATTGCGTTCCATTTTTCTAGATTCCGACCCAGCTACCAATACACACCCTAAACCTACCCTTCAGATGACGTCTCTCCCACCATCAACTACGAAACTCACCTTGACCGCACTCTTCTCTGCTACCGCTCTAAAACTAGATTCTATTCGTATTATTCCAGCCCCTCCTCCTCCAGGTCCTTCTCAGCCATCCCCATCGGTCCGAAAGGCAGCATCGGCAATCGTGATGTTGTCCCCGGAGACTCCATCCTCTGACATCGATGCTGCGGTGTCCATGCTCAACGGTCGCTATCTTGGCTGTGGATTTTGGCTCGGAATTGGTCGTCATCTGCCATCAACCGCAGTTGGCACTGTTGGCTCCGGACCTATTCCAGCTGCTCTACAAACTTACCCCTTTGGAGCAAGGCCACCTCTTGCCGCATCTCGGTCGCTCTCCCGCGCACCTCCCGTCCATCGAGGAGGGTTCGCTTCTGCTTTTGGATCGTCTCATCGTGGGGTTAGTACTGGGACAAGCGCCGGAGGAGCGGGAAACTTGCTGGTTCAAGTTGAAGCACCGTCCGACCTCAAGGTGCTCAGGCTGATACATAAAACCATCGAATCTGTTCTAACCCATGGTCCGGAATTCGAAGCTTTGTTGATGTCGTCTAATATCGTGAAGAATGACGTCAAATTTTCCTGGTTGTGGGATGCTCGATCCCCGGAAGGAGTTTATTATCGCTGGAAGTTGTGGGAAATCATATCGGGCACACCTCGGGAACAAATCGGTGGTGTCGATATGTTTGAACCCTCCTCTTCCCTGACAACTATTTGGTCACCACCCCGGAGGATGTTAAAATACGAGTGGGCAGGGACACTGAGGGATGTAATAGAGGATGAAGGTTTCAGTAGTGAGGAACTCGAAGACGACCGGGATGACAGCGATAGAGAAGAGGAAATTGAACGACCGATCGGGCTTATGGGCATTGGGGAAGAACGACGGGGTCGGGGTTATTTGGGCGTACTTGAACGCGCAAAGTTAATTCATCTCATTTGTAAGAGTTGTCCACAAACCAAAATATCCAGATAAATGACTGACAGGGTTCGTAGCTAGGATACCCACACAAACTAGTAAGGTTAGGAGAGGAGACGTGGGCCGAGTGATGGCGTTCGCTATGGAACATGCTGAAGGGGGGATGGGCGAAGAGGTTGTTACCGTACTTGTAGGCAATGTAAACCCCCAAGATTCAACGCCTGCCCATTTTCCCTTTCTGTGCTCACGATGGTTTCTGAGTAGGTGGTGAAACCGCTTGCATTCTCCAAAGCTGCCAAAAGAGAGAACACTCCTGACGGTGACGACTATAACGAAGTGGGATCTGAAAATAACGAGGGGAACCTTGATACATCGGCAGCCAAGGTAATTGGCCTCTGGCTGATATCAGATATTCTTTCGAATTCGTCCCTTGGCATTCGGAACGCGTGGAGATACCGGCAATTATTCGATGTTGCGCTGCGTGAGAAGGGTGTTTTCAGTCATTTAGGCGGAGTGTGGAAAGGGAGCGGATGGGGTCGAATGAAGGCAGAGAAGTTCCGGAGGGGGGTGGTCGAGGGGGTCCTAGAATGGTGGGAGGTAAGTGTCTTGATCTCACATTTTGAACTCTTGACAAGAGCCTAATATCTCGAGCAGAAGTGGTGTATCTTCCCACAATATACCCAGGAGGAATTTCTGAGAGCATTTACAGAACCGGTAGATAGAGAGAAGACAATATGTGCACCCGGCTCTCAGCCCCCGACAGAGGGTACTAGCGCTACAGCCCCTGTGGTTCTAACCACTAAGAGCAAGTGGAAAGCTGTGGAGGCCAAGGCAGAGGCTTTCAATGTGGAGTCTGCAGTTCTCGCAACAGCAGAGGATGTGGACGGCGAGCCCATGGCGGACGATGACGTAGATGGCGAGTCAATGGTTGAAGACGTGGACGGGGAACCAATGATAGACGAAGAGGCTGAAATGGAGCCTGAGACATCAGACAATCATGACGGGTTAATACTTGGTAGAAACGTTGAAGCAATGAGCAACTCATGCGGTAAGCCCGCAACGGGGGTGATCATGCAGGGTTTCAAAATAGGATCAACATCGAGCACCGTTAAGGGAGGAATGGGTCCAAGAAAGAGGATGAGGGCCGAGGATATGTTTGCTGACGAGGATGATCGCTCATAGGTGGTGAGCACTTTGTCGGGCCTATATACATCTGGGGACGTTGTATGGTAACAATCTATTAATTTGTGCAAGTTGGAGGGGAACTAGTAGTTATGATAAGGGACCCGGATGTCGCCCAGGTTCAATTTATAATGATGCCCTAAATGTAACATTGAGCAGATAACTCAGATCCTTGTCGCGGCTCGCTTACGAGGGTAAAGACCGGTTGGGAGCATGGCGATGCCACGGAGCGATAATTTCGAACCGATTTTCTAGATGCACGAAAACGCGTGTCGGAACCGCGTGGATTGTCTCAGAGAATTCAAGCGGGAACACGGGCTCTCGAAGCCACGAAGAGTTCTCACGGGTACTTTTCAGCATCAGGCAATAAAGTTTGCGAACTGGGGCGATACACAGCCGTGCTCTAGTGGTGGTCATACCAGGAGTTACAGTCATTTGTCAGCAAGGGGTGCCCTTTCCGGAAAGATATTTTGGTTAGCTTCCACATTGAGTGTGCAACCGTGGCAGCCTAATAACTAAAGTATCGCATCCTGCCTCTCCGATCAGTTGTTGGCGGTGACCAGTGGCCACCCTCAAATTATAGTATCATATGACAGTCCGTGGTCATTCGCTCATGCCAGGACTAGTGGTTAGGGCTGATCATGGTCACAGGAGCTTGGGCTGGGTTTGGAACAAAGATTAGGGAGAGGCGATCAAGAACTTGAAAATTTAAGCGTATATGCCATAACGGTACCTAGGGAGGAGGATTGAAAAAAATACATAAAGATCCCCCACAAAATCCCTGACGACTGATGGCTTTTCCAAACAGATTTGGCCCTAGCAAGATGTCAGTTCCGAGAATATCTTTAAATCTGAGGTTTGTTTGACCTCTAATGCGGAAATATAGTTACCACAAGTGAGATATCAAAGTCAGAAGAAGTGACCGATACATGATAGCAGTAGAGTGCTTACCAAGAATACATCCAGATTTCAAAGGCCAGAAGCAGCGCTGGTAATATTCACAATAGGTCCAAAAGGCCATTACCACCAATAACCTGTGAGATGACTTGCTTCTCCGCATCATTGATCGAAGAAGGTTTAGCTAAGGTATCAACAATTTCTTTCAAAGAAACACAACCTCCCAAAACCAACAGGGAGTCGACCAAAAAGAGTCGGATTAAAGTTAAAGTTTGAAAATTAATGAAATAAAACCGAAAGTTCAAGATAAATGGCATATGGTAGGTCACGAATATTGTGTGGCTTACACAGTAGTGGTGTCCCGAGCCAAATCTGCCATCCAGGAAAGAGCTTCACCCTAAAACTCAGCAGGTCATAGGACGGAAATCTCAACCTCTGCACTATCCGACTCGGATAGATTTCTGTGTTGTGTATGAGTATAAGTCTCCTTTTCTTAGTAAGGTATATGTTTTTGTTTTGCGTCGACAAAAGCACGAAATCCGGCGATTCCAGCAACCCCCACAAGTGAACGATCACATATGAATTTAGAATGAATTCTAGCAAATGACGAGAAAACTCTCCGACAACAGAGTCAATTTCACGAGCATCAACCTTTTACAACAAGTATGTAAAATTACATTAAATAACTTAGAACTGTTAAACCTGCCATTCCAACATAAATTGCTGCATATCAGCTGCCATGAGCATGGGCAAGGTTTGTCTTACCTCTTCCTACATTTCTCTAGCCTGAATCTGAGCCTTGTGCGCAGCTGCCTCCTTCATAGCCCATTTAATGCTTTTCTGTAATTACAATCTGAAGATTAGGGTCTACTGAAACCTTCTTTTTCTTCTGTTTATCTTCCAGCTCCTTCAATCATATTTGTAATTGTTGATTTAAAGCTTGAATGAAGGTGTGCGGATGGTGTTAGGAGTACCGGGATCCGATATCCAGGAAGCAACTCCAAAAGGTGACAAAAAAAGAAAACGAAAATGGAAGAAAAGTGCCATGCAGCAAAACAAAGAAATCACGTGAGGTAAAACAATTCCTACAATGCAAAAAATTGACTGATCAAACAGGATTCATCCTCCTACTGCGTTGCATTGGCCGGAACGTTGCAATTTTAGTGATATAATTTGGGAATTAGGAGTGTGGAGGCAGGGGGCAGCTGGTAGTACCAAGTCACAGAGGCTGGAGGTGCCATAGTCAGAGCAGGTAGGGGGGGGCTGGGAGGCCAGCATGAATGACAGTAGGGGTTGCAGTCTGGCTTTCCTGAATGCTGTCACACTGTGACACAGTGGATGCCTGGCTTCCTCCTGTGCTGCCTGCATCTGCTACCCTTCTAACTAGTAGGTCTCTCTTAGAACCTCCAGGAGAGATCTGCACATGCTGGTATGGAGGGCTCCAAAGTTCTATGGCTAGGTACCCTAAACCCAGATCATAGCAGGTTGGAGCTTTCTGGTAGGTGGGTTATTTATGGGAAGATAGTCCACAAAGAGCATAGTGTAGAGGAGCTAGCAGTACCCAGTTCCTCATTCAATATTAGTTATTAGCTTTGGCATTTAGACTACCATATTTGTTTATAGCCTATTAGATAGGAAAACTCACATCCCCATCTATGACAGCGAAGACTACCTTGCTACTAGGTACCGGAGAACTCCCTACTCTATCTGCCTCCAACTACCCCTCACCCTGGTCTTCCTCCTCTTCCATGGCTGCCATGGTGTAGTGACTAGACAAAGGTGTGCATGATGCTGAACAATCAGAGACTCAGCAGGGGTATTGTAAGAGGGCAGTGTCATCTCCGCAAATTGTCACCAGACTATAGAAAATGGTAGCTATACTATAACACCATTTAGTCCTGTCAAGTGTAGTTCCACCTCATATGACATGTGAATGTATAACAAATTGTAAGAAGAATTTTTTTTACCTCAATCGAGTAATTTTAATTTTTACTAGTATTTTGATTACTAAGTTGTGCAATTGTTCAGAGATTTCTTACAGGATAAGGCAACAAAAGTTGTCTTAAAAATTGCCCTTCGGGTGGTTAGCTGGTATGTTTGTTTACTATGGCAATCTAATCCACAAGCCTGCCAGTAGGAATTCTGCTGCTCAATGCCCCCTAGCCAATACAGGTAGTCTGTCGGTTTAGTATTGTGCACGGTAGGACTAATCTAGGCCTTTTCAGAGATTAACCAGCTGGACCAAGAAAAAGTGACATTTCAAAACTTAAACCTAGCCTGTCCTAGACATATGATGACTTTACTGGGACTGATGGCAGATTTGCCTCTACATTAGGCTAGGTTCACTTGGATTGCTGTACAATTGGCCTGTGCACTTGCTTGGATACTGCTAGACTTTTGTGGCTATAAACAATTTCAACTAGATTGGCCCGAGGTTCCCAAAACTGTGCCCAGTCTGGGTAGACAGCTGACCCATAGTACTGACTAACTACTTGAGATTAATGGGCTCCCTTTAAGAGTTCCTATGATGACCAAGATCAAAGTCTAGTATTTCAGATATTTGAAGGAGAATCCATACACTGAGGCTGAATTGCTCCTTCTGCTATTACTATTTTTAATTTTTAATTTATGGTATATAATTTTTCTCATCTAAGATCTTATCATTTATTTCGTGAAGAAAGAGAAGGATTCCTATGTGGAGTGGGAGAGCATGGACTTTGTATCATATAGAGTATCATCATCTAGACTTTTGTCTAGTGACTTTATCTTCACCCTGCTTAAAGATTCTATACCATAGAGTTATCAAATTAAGTATCTTCTATTTGTAGGCTTGGAGGTCTAGGCCATATCTTGTACTTGATCTAGGTATGACTTCAGGACTACAAGGCTTAGAGCATATCTACTATTGTTGGCAAGGGGTTATGCTTTAATATTGTGATCACCATTGAGAAACAGTAGTTGTTAGAGAGTAAGATGTCCTTCAGGCCTATGACACATTCAGAATTGGTGCATCGTCAGTCACTCTGATCATATTTGAAAAGCATTAGATTTCCTCCTCCACATATTGGCTACAAACTACTCTAAGTAGATTGCTTATGCTAAGTACACCAAAAACTCCTAAGGTGATATATAGGTCAGAGTCCATGATATGCTAGAGATGGTAGAGGAAAGTATGTCCTGTATTGTGAGCACCTATTCTGTGAACAATATAGATTCTCACTGCCAGTAGGCAGCCAGGAGAGGACCAATCAGATTCAGCCTCTAATATACTTGTTAGTTTGATGGGACAGAAGGTTAATAGCCAGGAGAATTAAGACTGAGGTACCACCACCTTGCTACCAACAGCCTACTACTTACCAACTGACAGCTTGGTCAACTGGAGTTTCTTAGCCGTATCCTTGAACAATATCTACAGATGATGCAATAACTCAGCCAGGTCATTAGTGTAGTGCTCAGCTTCAGTAGAGCATGATGTACTATTTCCAAAGCAGATCAAAGTGGGCAATATCTATCATGGACTTCACTTGAGAGTTTGTTTAGTATTTGAGATCAAGGTTGTACATGGTGATGTAGGCCTTGATCTCCTAATGTCATGCCATATAGATGGTAATTTTGTGATAGAACTCTTTGTATCTACATCACCAAATAGCTTATATAATGTTGCCAAATATGCCTACTTATTCCAGTATGAATATTAGCCTAATAGTATCTAAGAGCCTGTTATAGGTTAGATTAAGTATATATACATTCAATCAACAACTGCCATGTTGAACCAGGGGCACCTGTTAGATGTCAACTGGTAACTATTTACATTAGATGACAGGTATTAGTATTATATAGTACAATAGTAAACCAGAATTAGTATGAGATATTTTAAACTGTTTCTTTAGAGTAAGGACAGGCAACAGCATGTTGTCACACTCTACTCAGTTTTACAATCTTAACATTATGCACATTAACTACTTTAGTAGGATTTTTAAGAGAAGTATAGGTAACAGGATTTCCACCAAGGGATGAAGATAATTTACTTACTTGTCCTTTTTCTGGCATATAAATTGCCCTCTCTTTTGATTAGGAGGAGCGATTCAGATGGGCTGGATTATTTTTATTTTTTGTAAAAACAAGAATAAGTTTTAACTCAATTTTTCTTTGTATTTATTATTGTACAATTACA